CATTCCCCTCTTCCCTCCTTTACCCTCCTGACTGCCTGGGAGGCAGGGCCACTGGGCTGGGGGCATCTGACCTTGTGCTGAGGTCTCCTCATTCACCCAGCAGCGTGCATTCCCCCACGCCCCTGTGCTCAGGGGGTGACCCGGCGTCTGTTTCCTTTCTAGCCTCAGTTTCCCCATGAACCGTGAGGGGTGAAGTGGGGACTATTCTTGGACTTAGACCCTGTATGCGGCAGGGCTGGTTCCGTGGGCACAGATGGAGCGCCTGCTGGGTGCTTGGCTCCCCAGGGCCTGGGAGGGCAGGAAGGTGGTGGCTGTTCCCTGGCATGTGCCCCAGGGGGCAGGTGGGACAGCCTAGCAGTTAGGGACAGGTTTAGTTAGGGCTTGCCTGTGTCTCAGTTTCTTCTTCTGTGAATGGAGGTGCCAGTCGTGCCTCCTTATAGGGTGGTTGGGAGGATGACATGAGTGCTGGGGTTTGGGCTGGGAGAGCCGGTGCTCGACTTACGCGGTCCCTGGCCGTGCATTAGGGGTCTGTTGATGCCAGGCGTGTGTGTAGTAAGATTCCCATAATGGGGCCCATGTGTACATTATGCCTGCATGAATGTGTGTGGGGGGTGGAGTTGCCTCCCCATGACAGGGTATGTGTGTGCATTATACAGGTGTGTGTGTGGGGTGGAGTTGTGTTCCCATGACGGGGCTTGTATGTGCATTATGCATGTGTGCATGTGTGCGTGTGTGTTTCTTGCCTCCCTTGTTGAATGCCTGAAGCTCCCCCTCTCTGGCCTGGACTGGGCCATTGTCTGCCTTCAGCTCCCCCAGGAAGGGGCTGTGGAGGCAGGACCCGTATGTTGTGGTTCTGTGCCTGGAGAATTGAGGGCAGGTGTGGCTTGCAGACAGGCAGAGTCCAGTCTGAAGAGGGACACTCGGCTGAGGTCTGGTTCGCTTTTGAGCTGCCTGTGCCTGACAGCCACAGCCCACCAGCCTGTGCTCCTCCCGGTTCATCTTGTGGAGCCTCAGTGATGGCCCAGGGTTCCTGGCCCTGGTTTCCGAGGTCAGGCCTCTCTGAGCCCAAGGAGAGCCTTGGACCTGGGGGAGTCATGAGGGGACCCCAGTTGTGGGTCTGCTGGCCCTGCTGCCTGGGAGCTGGCAGGGAGGTGGGGACCTCATCAGGCCAGCAGCTGGGATTATCATCTGGACTCTCAAGTCCACAATAACCTCAGGCTAGGATACAGCCACGAACCCCCCATTCCTAGGCCTTGGCTGTAAAATTTTTTTTAATTAATAGAGATGGGGTCTTGGTGTATCGCCCAGGCTGGAGTGCAGTGGTATTATCACAGCTCACTGCAGCCTCAAACTCCTGGGCTCAAGTGATACTCCAACCTCAGCCTTCTGAGTAGGCTGGGACTACAGGTGCCACCATGGCTCGCTAGTTTTTAAATTGTTTTTAGAGACAGGCTCTTACTATGTTGCCTAGGCTGGTCTTGAACCCCTGGAGTTAAGTGATCCTCCCGCCTTGGCCTTCCTAAGTGCTGGGATTACAGGCGTGAGCCACCATGCTCAGCCTGGCTTTTAAAATGTATTTAATAACAACATGATCATTTGAAAACATTTTCCAGCTGCACATCCACACACAAGCAAACACTTTCCCTGGCCACCTGCACCCCAGAACCCCCAAACTCCCACACCTTAGCAGTGTGCATCCTTCAGACCCCCCAGGCACACGTGAACCTTTGGGTTTATTTTAAACAAAAATAGGATGAATCTACAAAATGCCATGCTCCAACGCCAGGCGTGGTGGCTCTCGCTTGAAATTCCAGCACACTGGGAGGCTGAGGCAGGAAGATCACTTGAGTCCAGGAGTTCAACATCAACCTCGGCAACATAGCGAGATCTCATTTCTACCAGAAAAAAAAAAAAATTTAAATTAGCTGGGCATGGTGGCCTGTGCTTATAGGTGGGAGGCTGAGGTGGAAGGATCATTTGAGCCCAAGAGTTCAAGGCTGCAGAGAGCTATGATTGGCCTGGGTGACAGGGTGAGATCCTACTCAAAAAAACTAAAACACACACCAAAAAAACTGCACTGCAGCTTGTAGGTTTTTCACCTGGTACTCCTACACTCTCCACCACAAGGTAGTGTTCCTGGGAGGAGGTCAGAGGTCAGAGGTCAGAGGTCAGGCTGCTCTCTCCTCCCTCCCAGCCTGTCCCTGGCTCCCAGCACGTCGTGTTGTCTGAAACTCCATGCAGGCATTCATGGCTGGGCTGTGTTCTGTCGGACAGGTGGCCAAGGTGGAATACGTCAGGAAGAAACCAAAATTAAAAGAAGTCCAGGTGAGGTTAGAGGAGCATTTGGAGTGCGCCTGCGCAACCACCAGCCTGAATCCGGATTATCGGGAAGAGGACACGGGTGAGTGGCTGCCTTCGTTGGCATTGGTGTTCGAGAACAGATCCTCGGAGCCTTGCTTTTGGGGTGTTAGGTGGCCCCCTGGAGCGCGATGCTCACGACTGTGTGCATCTGGGCTGCTGTTGAAGGACTTGTTGGCCTGCTCCTGGGCCAGATGCCTGCTGAGGAGGCAGATCCCACGCCTGCAGGTGTCCAGTGGGGAGCCCAAGCCGCGGCACTGACAGGAGAGGAGGTTCAGGCCTCACTGAGAGGGGCTGGGAGTGCATAAGATGCCCAACTCATCAGTGGGCCACGGGGCTGAGATGAGAAGAATCTGAAGAAGGGCCCCTGCCGGGATGGGCGGGAGGAGCAAGTTCGAGGACTACAGCTGCCCTGGCTGGCTGGGGTCTCTCCTTCACCCCACTGAGCGGACTCCACCCAGGAGCAGAATGGCCTCTGTGCCCTGCTGTGTCTGGGCCCTGGGAGCACGAGGGGACTCAGAAGTTTCTCCATGCCAGGGTGCTGGCCTTCTCTTCTGGAAAGATAAACACCGTAGGTATTTGTTGCTTCAGTTCTTCACCCCGACGGCCATCCCTTGGCCCACTCACTGCCGTGCCCTTTTGTTAACAGGAAGGCCTAGGGAGTCAGGTAAAAAACGGAAAAGAAAAAGGTTAAAACCCACCTAAAGCAGCCAACCAGGTAGGACCTGTCCGCCTTACATGCTGAGTCCTGCAGGGCGGGGAAGTGCAACCAACTGATCACACCAGCAAATCACGCTTCCTGTCTCGCCGGGTGCGGCAGGGACGTGGCCCTGATTGGCCTTCATGGTGTCTGCTGGGCTTGGGTCTCCTTGCTCCCCGTCTGCTCCTGCCTCGCAGAACGCCCTGGCCCGCGGCTCACTCCCACTCTGGGAGCCTGCCTTCAGCTTTGTCCTTCTCTTTGTCGTTGATTGGGGACGCAGGAGCATTGCACATGAATGGAATGGGTTGGGCGACCTGAGCAGCGGTGGGGCTGCTCTGACCACCTGACCACTCTGGGATCACCCACCCCATTTGACAGATGAAAAAACTGAGGCTTAACTGAGATTACAGATAAGGACTGTTGGAGGCTGAGTATATCTGGAAATCCTTTATAAACGCACAGGGCTGTCGGCTCCTGTGTTGGAAATTGCATTTGGCTGCTAGTAACACCAGACAGCACAGGGATTGAGATAAGGTCGAGCTTCATGACTTTCATCTAAAAGTGGGATTGCAGAGCAGGGAGGGTAGTCTTGAAGTATCATCAGGGTCTCCCTTCTGTCTGGCTAGTGGCATCCATCTGCAGTTGCCTCATGGCCCAAGGTGGCTGCAAAAGCTCCAGAAACCACATCTGTGCTCCAGGCTGGAAGAAGGAGTGAGGGGGGAAAAGGGCAAAATAACACCCTTAGAGAGCTATCCTGGAAATTCCACCCAGTGACTTTTGTGTTTTTCTCAGCTGCCATCCCTCCACTGCAAGGGAACTTGGGAAACGTCTCCTAGCAACACACGTCACTTCCCAGATGGAGATGGGACCTAGGCAGTCGCTGTCATCACGGAGGAGGCAGTTTCAAGCCTTCCTGGTCCTTGGCATTGGCCCGCCTGGCTTGGGAAAGTTGGAGCCCTGTCTGGCCTGGTTCCTCCTCCTGGCACGTGGGACTCCATGGCGGCCAAAACAAATAGTTTCTTTAGAAGAGAGGAGGCTCTCAGAGATAGGGTGTCTGAGAACCCTGGCTCCTGTTTGCAATGTGGGACTTGGGCCTGCGGGTGAGGTCCATTCATGAGGAGCCTCTTGGGAGGAAAGTATCCACTTGGGCGGGTCTTTGAAGTAGTCCAGGACTGTTGGCCAGCCAGCCTTGGCTTCGTTTGCCCAAAGTGTGGTGTGATGGGTGGTTTCGTGCCTGCCTGCAGGTTCCGTTTCTACAGAGCGTTAGGCTCTGGCCTCCATGGGCCTGCTGGTGACAGATCCCATGGTGAGAGGCTGGCACTCCTGTTGTCCCATGCCTGGCTGGCACTCATGCTCAGCCTATAGTTGGCCCAAGTGTTGGAGTGTGTGAAGGAGCGGCAACATAGGATGCGGAAGAGTTGTTCTTAAAGAATCAGCATAGGTCTGCTTAGGTGCAGACTCTTCTGTCTGGCTGGTGGCCTCCATTCTCAGGGTTGTCTCATGGGCCAAGGTGGCTGCCAGAGCTCCAGAAATCACATCTAAGCCCTCGGCTGGAAGAAAGGAAGGCAGGGAGAAGGGCAAATGAACCATTCTTGGCCTCAGTTTCCCCCATCTGTACAATGGAAGAATGGGGCTTGGTCTCTAGACATGTTCTTCTGTGAGATACTGGGAGCCTAATCCCAATTCCTGTCAGGGTACTGCAACATGGTTAATGTGGCAAATGTGATTCTGGAAATTTCATGAAAACTTGAAATCCATGTGTACCCCTGATTGGGTTAAATGTTTTCACCCTGTTTGCCTCCTATGCAGTGATGTGTGTGCTGGGTGGTTCACTTGGTCGGTGGTCTCAGTGTCTGTCTTTCCCTTCTCCCTGCAGATGTGAGGTGAGGATGAGCCGCAGCCCTTTCCTGGGACATGGATGTACATGGCGTGTTACATTCCTGAACCTACTATGTACGGTGCTTTATTGCCAGTGTGCAGTCTTTGTTCTCCTCCGTGAAAAACTGTGTCCGAGAACACTCGGGAGAACAAAGAGACAGTGCACATTTGTTTAATGTGACATCAAAGCAAGTATTGTAGCACTCGGTGAAGCAGTAAGAAGCTTCCTTGTCAAAGAGAGAGAGAGAGAGAGAAAACAAAACCACAAAACATGACAAAAACAAAACGGACTCACAAAAATATCTAAACTCGACGAGATGGAGGGTCGCTCCCGTGGGATGGAAGTGCAGAGGTCTCAGCAGACTGGATTTCTGTCCGGGTGGTCACAGGTGCTTTTTTGCCGAGGATGCAGAGCCTGCTTTGGGAACGACTCCAGAGGGGTGCTGGCGGGCTCTGCAGGGGCACGCAGAAAGCAGGAATGTCTTGGAAACCGCCACGCGAACTTTAGAAACCACACCTCCTCGCTGTAGTATTTAAGCCCATACAGAAACCTTCCTGAGAGCCTTAAGTGGAATTTTTTTTTTTTTTTTTTTTTTTTACACCATAAAGTGATTATTAAGCTTTCCTTTTTACTCTTTGGCTAGCTTTTTTTTTTTTTTTTTTTT